AATAAATATTTATTCTTCTATCAATTATTAACTGTTATTAACAATTAATCAAATAAAATTAACAAAATGGTATGTTCTCAATCCCCCAATCCTGTTTTATAATATCATGACTTGTTATGGTCAATGAATTGCTTGGTTTGTCTTCTCTCTCTTTAGTCTATTCTTGAATCCCTATCCCCCACCAAATTTTATTTTTGGATAAATGTTTTCCTTTCCTCCTCTAAAACTTTATCCATTCATCTGTCTCCAACAACCTTTTACATCTTATAACGACAAAATATATATTTTTTAATTATATTAATATTTTTTTATTAACTTCTAATATTTTTAGAAATCGTGTTAGGTATTATAAGGGAAAAAAAATTTTCAATACTTGTTTTTTAATTTATAAGATTTAAATTTAAAATTTTACTTAAAAAAACTAAATTTATTTTATTTTGATTAACAAGTCATTTTTTTAATTGTATTAATGTATATATGATAGATCACAAAGTATATCAAGAATAAAAAAAAAATGATAATATATGCAAATTCTAAATATAGATTCAAGAGAAAATAAAAATGGTACCCAAATTGGGTTGCAAGTAACTGATCCAAGTGAGATGAGCTTGGATATTGTCAAAGGGCAAGCTCTCTAATTTCAGTGGATTTTGCTAATATCTTCATTTCCATAGTTAAACTTCTCCATAACTTTATTTACACTACTTTTTATGTTCACTAGGTGGTTTATTTGTATTTTAACTATTATGAATTTAAAATGCGCGAATTCTTAGCCAATGTATATATATTTTTTCACGCCATGCACAGGGGAACCATTCTGTAATTGTAAGATGAATTGTCTGGGAGGACATGAACAATAAAAACCTAACTAAATGAGAGACAATAACCGTGAAATGGCACTTAAGAGCGGGAAGATGAGTTGGCAATGACTTTTTCAATTTAATCAGAGGTATTGATTTTAAATTCTGATAATACAGTTCCGTTAAAACTTATGAAAAAGAGTTTTATCGCCTGTTAAGTCTATTTAACTCGAATTCGGATTAATCTGTGATCTATTAGGTTTTCGGATACCGTTGACCAAACAAAAAATAAATAAAAAAAGCGTGAAATGGCAGAGAAGTGCAAGGGAGACCCTTTTGTGGTTTTTATTACCAGGTGTCCTCCAACTAGATTTTGCACACATTTAGATTGTCAACAAATTATTTTTATCAAACATTGAATCATTAATTACCAATCACATTAAATTTATTTGTTTTGTGAAGAAAATGTTAAAAAAATGTGATTAGAGACAGTGTACCTAGGATGAATGGTATCTTTTGACTCCTCAAGAAATGTTACTACCTATAAATGGGGCATGATATTCAGTTCACTACTGTTGCGGTTGCACAATAAAAAACAGTCAAATGCATAGAAGAAGCCAGAGGCAGAGAGCAGCTTAACTTAAATCAAGGCAAATATTCCAACAGAAGAGATGTGACTATCATCAACTGGATATCTAATACACTTCTTTGAAAAGATAACTTCTTGTCTATAGTCTATATAGAAATAAATTCTTCAGCTTCAGCTTGGAATGAGATAATTAATTAGCATGCAAAGTTGTGTTATTTGTTTTGTGTTGGCGGCAAGTTTTATGATGATTGATGGAAGAATAAATGAATATATCCATTTGATACTTACAAAAACAAGAAAGAGAGATGGGGAAAAAACACAACCTTTCTGGCAAAACTTGGGGAAAAGATCAGTACAATATCAGGCAGTTTGTATCAATAAACAAGAAACCAACAATCCAAAACAGATTGTGAAACAATCAGAGAAAAATAAGATGGAATTGGTTTTTGAGATGGCCAGTCAGTCAACCATGAATAACCAAACTCTCTAGGCAGAACAAAAAACCATGGTGGCTGTGTTTTTATAATTGTTCAGGAATGCTGTTGGGAGCCATCATTATCAGCTTTGTCTTCGGGTTCGGCCCCAGCCCCATCAGTAGCACCCCCCTCCTCTGCTTGGACCTCCGCTGTGTCAGAGGATGCAGAGGCATTTCTCTTGTGGGAGGCAGCCTGGAGGACATGGTTGTAGTTCCCTTTCTCCATGAACAGCTGAGCAAAGTGGTGCTTGCAGTAGAGGACCCCATCAAGGGCAGCATAGGAGCAGTGAGTCAGAGGACACCCACCATGGGCACACCTGAAGCATGACTTGTGATAACACTCCCCCTCCAAATTCACCTAAATTCAGACAAAAACTACTATGTATTTTAGGAAACAGAACATCGTTGAAGATACAGTTCTAAGGAAAACAAAAGTTGATCTGAAATAGTTGAACAACCTTTTCTAATGGGTACACGGTCTTGTTGCAAGTGGCACATTTATCTTGAGTTCCAGAGAACATGGAAGAGACCTTGCTAGGAATCCTAGACTGTAAGCATAGATCAAAATGTTACAATCAATTTTATAGAGAGGAAAGAAAAACGAACATATGATAGGTTTTGTATTCTAATGCATATTTGTTTGCTTTGAAAATTTTCAAGGCTGCAAGACCTATATTAAAACTTATGTCACATGAATTGGATCAAGTAGATTTAGATTGAAGGAAGGATAAATGAACTTGAACATACCAGCTCATTCTGCTTGTCAGTCTTTGCTGTCGAATTGATGATGATACAAAACAGTGTTGTTAGCAGCAAACATCATTAATAAAAAAAAACCCAAAAAGCTAGGAAAGAAGGAGAAACAAGAGAAATTATAAAAGGTTGTTACCTGTTTGAAAATTCTTGCTGAAATTGCCAGATTCCTTGAAAAGTTGCTCAAAATGAGGCTTGCAGTAAAGAACTCCATCCATTGATGAGTAATTGCTCATCTGTCAACAAAAAGAGCACACCTTTACAACATCTCTTAAGATTAAGAATTGGGGATTTCAAGTTTGAACGTCAAGTTAGAGGTTAATTGAAAGAAAGAAATAGAGTGCAGTGCATAGATGTTAATGAATATATACCACAAGAGTCCCCTTGCAGTGGCTGCACTTGAAGCAGGATTTATGGTAAGGCACTCCTTCAAGGGACAAGAGATCAACAACATAAACAGTCTTATCACAGGCCTTGCATTTGTCCAGAGTTCCGGTAAATGCCATTGTTGTTCTTGGGGGAAGAGGATCGAAACCCTTGGGAGTGCTGGAGGTGGTCTTAGGGACAAGGAAACTGTCCTATAGGAAGAAAAGGCTGTTTTATTGGGTTAACTCAGACAAAGGATGTGAAACTAACCCCTTAACATGTTTTTACAAAACTGTTTTATGTCAGATTATAACGGATTTTTGGCTTTTCTTGCAAGGGTGTACATTTGATTGATGATTGAAGGACACCCGTGATTGGAGATCCCAATATTTTGGGGAAATTTTTGAATGAACAGGAGGGCAACCAGGCTCTGACCTTTTCAAGAGAGAGAGAGGGATAATCTTTGGAACCTTTTTCCTGTTTTTTTTTTGGGTTATTTTAGCCATTGATTTGAACATATATGAAGACCATTTGATTGAATTTTCTCGTTCTTTCAAACAAAAGTATATATATAATTTGACACATGTAAATTATGAAGTTGTAATCATGTTACAATTTATTAAGGTATTTGAATGAAGCTTCACAGATGTACCAGTTACAAGGTTTTATGGAGGCAAAACCACTTGCTGACACAAGATGAGGTCTGAGATGGTCTTTCCATGCCTGTCAATCCTCCGGGAGCAGTTGACACCACCATCTAGAATGTTTCGAACAACAACATTTAGAGAATGAATTCCTCTAACTTCATATATTTCTACCTTTACATGTTCATCCAAGTACTTGTCTCTTTCAGCAGTGGCATTAGAGTCCAGAAACGAAGAGGGATTCAGAAGCACTGAGAGTACACCCTTCACCCACTGAGGGGTTATGACTAGCTTCAGTCTCTCAATATCTGGAGGGAAATGAGGGATGAGAGAAAAATTCAAGCTGTTTCCTTTGTCCCCAGTCCTGCTATGGGCTACATTATAGAGTGGGACCTTCAGACCATGGGGAGCAGGAGAAAGTTCGAATTCTGGTGATGAACCATAGATGCAAGAAACATTCACATTTTCCTGCAGGAGTTGTGGCAATAAAGGTACAGGTAAAACACTGGTCTTCTTATCAGCTTCAGGGATTTTTTGTTGCAACTCTGATCCTACTAGTTTGGAGTGGTTCCCCCTTGTGTGCCAGAAAATATGTTCACGCTCAACCTGAGCAATCAAAGATAGGTGCCAGTAGTTTATACAGTTATCAAGATGTTTAAGGTAAACTGTTCAAGTTTAAAACTGCATCCTTTCATCATGTTCTGCTACACAAACTAAGAAATTATTTAAATGGTGGGAAGGAGGAAAGAAGTACCAATTGCTTTTCCAGAACAATATCTTTCTTGTGACCAGTGCTGCATAAGATGAATAACCAAAATTACAATTTGTAAATGAAAGATTAGGCACAGAGATTATAGGACAATTACCTGATTCCACCACCACCAGCTGGTCCATTTGTATATAATGCAGTGAACTCTTTTGTAAATTGCACTGCATGCTCCTTCTCCTGAAAAAGGCCATCCATGCGTAACCTTATATCTTCAGCAGTCTCCATTGCTGATGCAATGTTGTCAATGCTTGTCACCTTCAAGCTATCAAACCCAATTATATAGGACACTATACGGAAACTAACACCAGGAAGTATTTCCTCCATCCATGACCTCACCTGATATATAAGAAAAGAAGAGAAAAATCACTGCTAAATATTGTAAGCAAAACAGGTAGGACGTCTTTGGAGAGAAATCAAAGATAAAAATGTCAGTACAGGAAGTCAAGGAATGAATTAGCCATCAACCCATTAAAGAGTAGCCTAATTACCAGGAATTCAGCAGCTTTGGCACGTTTAACACATTGATGTCCTCCATATGATATCTCACCCCAGCCTTTCCAGCCACAATCCTGAAAAACCAGGAGTTTTACTTTATTACCTTTCTTCATGAGCAAACATTTAAAGGTTGAAAATTTAAACTGAAGAGGGTTTATCTCTCCTGAACTGTATTTCAACTTTTAATTGTGAACAACATGATTGCAGAAGAGAATAAGATAAAGAATCCCTCATAGCAACTGAGACAGATTGGGAAGATATGAAATAAAAAATAAAAAATAAAAAAATTTTACAACATTTCAACCACCTCACCCACCACCTCCTATTGCCCCTCGACTGATACTTGAGTTATTCCAAGAACAAAAGTTTAAGAAGTATCTAGAACATACACTAGCACTGGATCTGTCCAATTGAGCCTATAAGCATCCAAACCCCAATCTAAAATTAGAAAAGGAAAATAGGGCTCCTTTGCATGCTTAACATTACCTTGGGAACCAACTGCAAAAGTTTCTCAGGCAATGGTTTAGCAGCAGCTTTTGCTCCAAGACAAAGAACTTTGGAGCTTGATATTGGCTTGAACGAGACATCCCGAAAATCAATTACCTGCATTTGAGAAAGTGCGTAGTTATATTGCAGTTTATCCTTTTGCCCCTCATTCATTTCAAGTACAAATTCACATTGTACTTGCCACATCAGGTGTAACATAAGCACTCGGATCTCCAACTTCATAAAGTAGTTGTTGAGCACAAGTACTGAAATTTAAAACCCCACCACTACCTTCCGCCTTCATGACACAAGCTTTACCATCAAACCAAATTTCAGCAAAAGGAAGTGAAAGATCTAGGAGATCTGAGAAAGCTAAGTTCCGATGTTTGTCTCCTGCAACAAAGAAGATGCAGAACATGAGAAAATTAGAAAATTAACAAATTTACTATCATGAGCTTTTCCTGTGATACTGCAAAGACAAAGAAAAGCTACTTCACCTGGATGCATGTAGTACCCCCCTGTGAGTTGACAACCACACTCTAAAAGGTGGCCAGCCAGAGATCCCTGTGCCAGTAGCTCCAACTCATTCCAATTCCAACCTAGCTCATACACCTAATTGCTTACCAGTGAGATCTTTCAGATTAAATTTTGGAAAGCTAAACCATGCACAGAGAACAAAATGAGAAATCCTATCATATTCATGGTACAGGCATAAAATAATTATTCAACCGCCATCTTCAAAGTAGTATTCAACATTTTTTTTTTTTTTTATAAAAGGGTCAAGCATTCAGTGATGTGTAATCAATGTTACAATACTTGGCCTAATATTCCGTCTTCAATTTTAGATGGTAAAGCTAAACAGACGCTGAGTATACATAGTACTTCACAATGGAAACCGAAAACTATGAATGAAATAATACTATATGTGGCAGAAATGTAGTGTCGTAATGTGCACATTAATAATTTAAACTGTTGTCAAAAACTCA